TGTCTCTTGCAGGATGCGTCTTCGGGATCCCCAAGAGATTCCTCCGCACGCACACGTCGCTCAGGTGAGACCGAGAATCCTCTGTGCATACAAATAAACTTTCATACGCACATGTCTGTTTTTATGTGTATTTATGTATATACTGTACACACACACACACAAAGAAACACACACTCATCTCTCTCTCTCTCTCTCTATTTCTTTCTCTCTCTCCCTCTCTCTCTCTTCTCTCTTTTCTCTCTCCTCTCTCTCTTCTCTCTCTCTCTCTCTCTCTCTCTCTCTCTTCTCTCATTCTCTCTCTCTCTCTCTTTCTCTTTCTTCTTTCTCTTTCTTTCTCTTTCTCTTTCTCTTTCTCTCTCTCTCGTCTCTCTCTCTTCTCTCTCTCGCCTCTCTCTCTCTCTCTCTTCGTCTCTCTCTCTCTCTCTCTCTCTCTCTCTCTCTCTCTCTTCTCTCTCTCTCTCTCTCTCTCTTCTCTCTCTTTCTCAAACCACACACACACACACATACACACACCACACACACACCACACATATATATATATATATTAATATATATTATATATATATATATATATATATATAATTTATATATATATATATATATATATATATATATGTATATATATATAATATATATACAGAGACAGACAGCGAGAGTGATGTAAGCAACCAAGAGTATAGTTGCCATTACCATAGATTGGAATTTCGATCTAATGTTTTGTTCTATTTGTGGTTTCCTTGTCTCCGATTGGAAATATCGAAGCGAAGCATATACGAAATCATTTTACATGACATCATATACGTCCATTTCAGTGCAAATAGTTTTGATCTATGATGTTTTGAAAAAAAAGCTGATACTATTCACGATAACCTATGTTTTCGTCCCGCCAGAGAAGGATCGATTACTCGGCAGAAATCTCGGAGAACTTCCTTCCGACGCCACGTACAGAGGTAAGGGGGGGCACAGACGGGGGGGGGTAGAGACGAATAGATGCATAAGATGTCGGATGAATGGATAGATAGACAAACTGACGGACAGAGATACTGATAGACAGAGCGAGAGATACATACACATACACACAATATATGTGGCGTGCATATATATATATATATTATATATATATATATATATATATATATATTATATATAATATTATAATATATATATTATAATATATTATATATATATATATGTGTGTTGGTGTAGTATGTATGTATGTTGTATGAATGTTTATGTATATAATACATATATATTATATATATATATATATTATATATATATATATATATATATATAATATATGTATATATATATATATATATATATATATATATATATATATATACATAGATGTGTACATATATGTTGCGTGTGTGTATACAGACAGACAGACTGCAGACAGAAAAAAAATCCGTGTTATTTAAAAAAAAACATGCTAATATAAATGATTTCAAGCTTTTTGAAAAACATCAGTATGGCATTCACTAATTAATATAAACCTACGTAAGTCAAAGAGCTAGATTAGTTTACAGTTAACGAATTATTATCACTTGTTGATTAAGTAATATTGCTGCAACATGCAATTCCTGTCGATTTTTTTTCACCAGGTGTTTCATGGGTAATTTCCGGTTTAGAGGAGTCTATTACGCTTCAATGAAGTATTCTGCGGCTAAATTATTAAATGTAGACGTTGATGAATTAATGCGATAATTCTCTTTTGAACCGGCTGATCGTCAATGGAAATGGTTAATGTCTAATGCTATTTGGCGCTAGATTCACTAATAAGGACGTAATACTTAAATTGTACACACGATCAATGGATATATAAACAGTATGAATTTGCACGGATTGAGAGGCCCTGATGGTACATGAACACTGTATCCCCCTAGAGTCCGCTGGAGGTACGAGGCGACCAATCCAAGATCTATATAACTACTTATATAGACTTGAGCAGCACCCTTTCGTTTCAGGTGACTTTCTAGACTATGCGTACACGGGGACGTCGGCCCGTCGGCAGACCCAAAAGACCGACGTGAGAGACGACTCTACGACAAGCCAGACCTCTATTACGACGAGGAAGAATACTACGACGACGACTTCTATTACGACGACGACTACGACCTGTATGACGACTATGACGATGAGATTTTCTTTGACGAATACGACCCGCCGCTTGACAATGGCGAGGGGAACCAAGTGCGCGCGAACGACCTAAACGAGCTCAACGATGACGACCTCATTCACAACAACGTCATTCACAAAGACGATAACATTCACTCTAAAGACACTTTGGGTAAAGCAGAGCAAAAGACAAAGTTCAAAGTGAAGGGTAAGTGACAGGGAAGGAGAATAGAGACAGGTCCTCGCCACGCTCTTCTCTGCCCCTTTCGCTGTGTTTCTGTCTGACAAACGACTCGACTCCAAGACAAGTGATCGGGCCGCTTTGTTTTGTTTTTTGTTTTCTTAATAGTAGTTTTACGAGTACAAAAAATGGAGCTTC